AAGCCCTTAATCTATCCCCTAATAGCTCGTAGGAGCTGGGCACAAGAGGCACAGGTTTGTGACCATGGCAGGGGTTGGCTCTGAGGCCCGGTGACGCGGTTGTGCAGGCAGACACGGCCCCCATCCCCACAGCTGTGCCCCTAATGCCTCCTGCAAACACCCCGCTGATTTAAACGGGATGAGTAGCTGTTGCAGGTCACCTTGGATTGAGAGATGCTGCCAGGAGCCTCGTCTGAAAGGCTTTGTCCTTTGTCATTGAAACTTTTTCTCGTAGTTCCCATGGTTGAGATGTTTGCTCCACTGCCCGCAGGCAGTGAGTCGTGAGGAGGAGGAGGGGGAAAAGTAGGGCAGGACAGTAGAGCAGGGAGGGCTTCCTTCTGCAGCTGTGGCATTGCAGGTGTGGAGAGAAGGAAGGAAACAGCCGACTGCCTTCTGGAGAGTGGTGACCTCCCTGGGCTGCCCCACTGAAAAACTTCTGCTTCTTTCTCAGGGCAGGACGTCGCAGAATCACTCCTTTCACTTGGTGCACTCTCCAAGTGCCATCCTGGGATGTTTGTTAAGGTGATGACCACAGTCCATACTAACAACAAACATCTCTTCAGGGCAAGCTTGAGCTCCAGTTTGCGTGCCTCCCTGGGCCATGGGCACTGTGGTTTAGGGAGATGTTGCTTTATTCCACATTGGCTGCTAGGTGGAGATCCACAAATCTAGCACACCTTACGGGGGACGTTCACCCAGGATTTATACACAAAAGAGTGTCATAATCCTGCCTACCTAATCCATAACTCCCCCTGTAGAGCCAATTAGCTTATTGCTCTTTCCATTTAACAATTAAGACTCTTGATTATTCTTTCATTGCCTATATTATACTTAAAGGAAACACAATAAAACACCCAAAAATGCAGCAAAAAAGCCTGTATTTCACCACAGTTTTTATTGTTTAATAGAACTAATAACTGTGTAATTGAAATCATGCTAATACTCACTTGATCAGCCTCTGTGATTCAATGCAGAGATTTCTGGTTTGGCTTAAACTGCTGGGAAGAAGACTGCATTTTGAGAAATAAAATTGATTTTGCACAATCTACTGATGATCAGCAAGGCTTAATGAATGGTCGCCTCAAGAAACCTCATTACAGTAATTTGGATGGATGGGCAGGAATGAAATGCAAAAAGACAAAGTATCGCTGCTTGAATGCATTCCTTTCTGATGCTTGACTCTAAAACCACCCAGAGCCAGCACAAGGAAAGGCTCAGATATCCTTGCCTTACGTGCCTTCAAGCCTCCAAGTTAGTTTAATGCCTTTTGGGAACAAGAAGATAAGGTTTTGATTTCCATAGTAGTTACTCTCTAGCAGAACAATGCAGTCATTTTATTCGTAGAGGTGTGATTGTATCGAGTTCATAAATTGTGATTCCAGTCCATTATTGTACATTTTTTAGGTCATTTTATTCGTAGAGGTGTGATTGTATCCAGTTCATAAATTGTGATTCCAATCCATTATTGTACATTTTTTAGGTTTTTTTTCATGACAGTTGAAAGAAGTCATTGCCTTGAGGCTGTGAATTGGATGATTGCTGAAGCCTTTTACTTATGTAGAATCTACCTGTTAGCTCCTTAGCAAAAGTGAGTCTTCTGGTCAGCCTGTGTTCAGCTCTTCACGGCACAGAACTTCTCTGCAGGAGACAGAGGATGACACAAGTTTTTTTCATGACAGTTGAAAGAAGTCATTGCCTTGAGGCTGTGAATTGGATGATTGCTGAAGCCTTTTACTTATGTAGAATCTACCTGTTAGCTCCTTAGCAAAAGTGAGTCTTCTGGTCAGCCTGTGTTCAGCTCTTCACGGCACAGAACGTCTCTGCAGCTGACGCTGGATGGTGTTCATTTGATAGAGACTCAGGAGCAAAGTAGGTGGGAAGCAGCAGAAAACCAGAGTGGAATGAAAATGAAAAATATAAAACCCTTGATAGGTTGAGGTACGTTTCTGAGCACCTCTGTGGTACCATCCATCCTAACAGTATGTTCAGTTTCAGGGATGGTAGATGTTCTCCATGTGCTTGCTTTCGGTTAGGGTGTTGCAATGGTATCCCGTGGTTCTTCAGAATGATGGAAAACAGGGAGGAACAGGTAGTTGCAGCTTCCAGAGTGTCCCCTTCATTGAGTGAGTGAGTGAGTGGTTGTTCTTCTGACAGAACCTGGGCTTTTGTTAGGTCCTATCTGCTGTTTCCTCTCCATGTGGGAATGATTCTGTAGATGTAAATACCAGATGTGCAAGGGAAGAATAGGTCTGTGCTGGACTGTCACCTCTGTATTCCATTTTGCATCTTATTTCTTGCTTTAGATTTTTGAAGTAAAACTGTGAAGTTCTTATAAAAAGCAATGGAGGATGGATGCCAAAATGACAAATAGGATTTTCTCCCCTCTTCCAACTTAGGATTTATTAAAATAAGAATAATTTAGTGAACTTATGTTCCAAAATATATTCTTTGGTAGGTATTTTTTTTTTTTTAGAAGAAAAAAAAAAGAAAAAGTGGCCTATGAATTTCAAATTCTTTTATTTTCTTAACCCAAGATGAATACCTTTGACATAATTGATAGCTGATCTCCTATACTAACGCCTGCAATAACTAATTGGCTATAGGGGAGCTACTCTGGGTTTACTGCTTTGACTCGGGTAAAAATTTGGTCCATTTTCTGGTAAAAAAAAAAGTTAGTCTTGAGAAAGTAATCTTTTCCAATGCTTGGGAATATCTGGGGAACTTTCTCTGCTATTTTTTTTTTTAAGTAATACTTTTTATGATGCTTCTCCCAATGAATACATATTGAAGTGCGTGTTAGATGAAAATGTATAGGCTCGGAGAAATATATGTTTAAAACCTTTAGGGATAATTTCGCAATCTCCAGATGTCAGGAGATTTCAGGCATTAAATGTTAGATTATATTGTAACAGTATCCAGTGCATGCTTTTTCATGAGGCTGAGGTGCAGGATTTTGCAATCATAGTTCAGCTAAAACTTTGTCAGGCTGAATTCAGCGCTGCATTTGGGAGCTACCTCTAATGAATCACAAACTGGTGTTTATCCAAAGTCTTGTTGCTCCTTTCCAGCTCACAGGAGGTTAAAATATTAAGAGAGCTTTCCCAAACTCTGTAGGAAGTAGAGGTTGTGCAAAAGAGTAAGAAGTGAGGTGTAACATTTTGGTAACACCTGGTCTGGGAACTTAATTTTAGGCTGATGGTCTGGTGGCTGCAGGACATGGCATTCACTGAGAAAGCTGCCACTCAGCCTGGCCCCTAAATTGCTTATCAATTTTTCTAGCTTCTTGGAGCATTTTAGAGTAAAGGAATCTAAGCTTTATTGCCAGCCCTCTTCTCAGTTGTTAATAAGTCATTTAAACTCTTGGTGACTCCTTTTTTTTCATCTGTTACTTGGAATAATATTTGTTTGCCCTTCCTCATGGGACTATTGTGAAGTTTATTTCGTTAGTGTTTGTAAAGGGCTTGGAGATCCTAGACGCCAGATGCCAAAGAAAAACAAAAGGTTGTTATTACCAATTTCTTGATTAAATGTATGTATTATTTTTTGATTTGACACTAGCCTTACAAATCACTGCAGTCTTTCATATAATGAAATTTACCTCAAATAATGACTGTAATAAGTGAACAATAATGAGGAATAGAAGGCATTGCTCCCCTCTGAAACCACCATAATTTGCATAAACCACTCGGAGAGACTGGTAAATTATATTCTGCTTCGTCAGTCCACAGAGAGATTAATACTGGTTTGTTTTTTTTAAAACATTAGAAAATTTAAGCTTCAGGTTGTGTGTGTGTGTGTTTATATCTTCAGAACATTAGTCTTCCTTAGGAGCTGGCAATCCAATAAAATTAGAGTTTGACATTAGAAATCATGCTTTGTTTTCCTGCTGGGCTCTGAACAATTCTTGTTCAGTCTTATTTAACTTTACAATCAGGTTTGGCAGCCTTTCCTTAGTGTAGTTGATTTGAAGCTTTGCTGAAGAATTAAGCATCCGTTCCCAAAAGACACTTCTCAATGGTGTGGTAAATCAAGAGAAGACACACGGGAACGTGTGAAGATCAAGCACTGAGTCTATAATGCATTCTTGCGTCTTTATCACATTTATTTATGCAAACTGGCCATTTACACTTTTTAGTTGTTGCCACTGTGTGAGACGTGTGTCCATGTGCTCGCCTGTGTTTTTCTGCTTCTAGTAGTCTGATCCTATCTGTATGTAAAATTTATTAATATTGTTAAGTAGTTACCATCACACCGCTGTTAAAATGCATTGACACAGCTTTTATAAGTGAGGGGCAAGGATAAATCTGTGGTTCTCCACGAGCTGCTTCAGCTCCGTAGAGCGATGAAGATGGGCTGAAAGCTGTTGCGTGTGACTGAAGAGGGGAGCTTTCGAGTCCAGAGAATTATCTGTGGGGTTCCTTCAGCTCTTGGGGTTTATTCCCATCTCGAGAGTGGTCCTCGCCTTCCTACGTGGCTGCCCAGTTCTGTCGTACCCTCCCCATCCCGTGTGCTGGCTCAGCGCACACTCACCTCATAGGGGTTGAACGTGCCCTCCAAAATTTGGGTCCAGTGAGCAGTGCACCTGCAGAATCATGGGCTTGCCTGTATGTTTGGAGTGTAGGGGTGTCCCAGCCCTTAAATCCAACACGCTGGGGAGCAGTGTCACTCAGGGGTTGTAAGACTGCACAATTTAAAGTGAGGGGGGAGTGACCACCACCGCGAGCACTTCCACAGCCCGTTACCCAAGGATTTACGTTTCACAGGCTCTCCCTTTGCACTTAACATTACTATGTCTGCTTGAATTTGGGGGGAAATGTGTAAAGTCCCACTGTCAAGATCAGGGCTTCACAAGGAGAGAAGAAAAAGTTGACATTCTGGTGCTTATCTGTGTGTACCGGGGACTCTTCAGTCAGTTTGTTTTCTGCCAACAGATACATATGGCTCTTCCCCTTCTCTTGCAGAAGCAGATGCACAGTCAAGGTGTGGATCATGGGAGAGCAACCGCTAAACAACAGCGTCCTTGATCGGTTTGTTAATAGTCACGAGCAATCGTATGAAGAGTTCCTAAATACATTCACTTATCTTTTGAAAGGTACGTAGCTTCCCAAATCTCCCACTAGAAATCCCAGCCAGAAGGGAAGGTAAAAGGAGAAGCAGTAGTATTTTACTATCTGTTCTGATACTTACGTGCTTTGTGACCTTCAGCAAATCCTTGTAATGCTTTTGTTTCTGTATCAGCGGTGGGACCCCTGAGAACAGCTTTCCTGTTCAGAGGCTGGTTCAGAGGCTGCTCAGGTTGGTCTTCACAGGTGTTTAACCGTGGTTTGCTCGCTTTAGGGAGCTGTGGGCCAGCGTGCACTTTTTGGAAGGATAGGCTTTTCCTAACTACATCCTGCATTGTTTTGCTAGAGAAGTTTCCCGAAAAGAAGAAGAGTGTAAGGAAAGTATGTGATAGTATGAGATGGCCTAAAATTAGGGGTGTCCAATTTGGAGAAGTTCACAGATTTACTCACACTGGCTTGCTGTGCTGTGCTGTGCACCAAGCAAACAGGTCAGTTGGATTAAGGCACATCAGAATATCCGATTAGAATAATTAGGCTGAAAAGGTCTTGTGCTCTGCAGATGAAAGAAAAAGAGGGGCTAACCTTGGTCTGACTGGCAGCCTGTTCAGATCGGGATCCAAATTCTGTAGCTCAGGTTCATTTCTTTTGGCCATGTCAAGTCAGGTGCCATAAAAATAAATGCAAGCTACATATTGCTCACAATTCTCTTTACCACAGCTTTGCACTAAAAATGATGTCCTCATCTTCTTGCAGAAGCACTGTATTTTTCAATTACAGCATGTGGCATGCTCCATTGGCTGGCACTCAGAATCTGTCCTGTCCTTGTCCTTCAGGCAGAAGTGAGTGTCAGTCACAGGCACTGAGCGGAAAACCAGTGGGGGATTGGGAACTGCCATAGAAATAATCTTGTGGCAACCTTCTGTCTCCTCCCAATGAAAAATAGAAGAGAAAGGAGACACTGGGGATGAGATAAGAGGACTGAAAATTAGGTTCTGGTCTTCTTTATGTATGATTGATACACTGGGGATAGCTGCTATCTTAGAAGCATGCTGCATATCATGATGCTACTTGCAAAAAGCCTCAGCCTCTATTTCAGTCACTTTCATTGTCACTACAGCGTCTACCATTAAAGCTGTATAAAAGGTAGAGATTCAGCTGAATCAGAGGCTTAGAAATGCAGTTTCCTATGCTGGTGTAGATGAAACAACTCAGCTTGTTTTCCTCCCGTCTTCATTTTCCTTTAAAAATACCCAAAGGTGCTGGTGTACATTGGAAACTAATAACCTGCAAAAATTCCAGTTAAAGCTCAAGGCATTTTAGCATCAGAACAGTGCAAAATACTTTATAAAATATCACATTCTTAGTTTCTTAATTTTGCATTTGAAAAAGTCATTTAGCTTTAATTTTTTTTTATTAAAAAAACAACAACTGTGATAGCTTAATAAGACTATCTGCTAATAAGCTCCAGAAATTTTCACTTTTATGTATGAGTTTGGATATTTGGGAAGCAGTGAGGGACCTGCTCCTGCACCTGGACACAAACAAGTCTATGGGCCCAGATGGGATTCACCCGAGGGCTCTGAGGGAGCTGGTGGAAGTGCTCACTGAGCCACTCTCCATCATTTACCAGCAGTCCTGGCAAACTGGGGAGGTCCCAGCCGACTGGTGTCTAGCAAAGGTGATGCCCATCCACAAGAAGGGTGGGAAGGATGATCTGGGGAACTCCAGGCCTGTCAGTCTGACCTCGGTGCCTGGGAAGGCCATGGAACAGATCATCCTGAGTGCCATTATGCAGCACATGAAGGACACCCAGGTGATCAGGCCCAGCCAGCACGGGTTCACGAGGGGCAGGTCCTGCTTGACAAACCTGATCTCCTTCTATGACAAAGTGACCCGCTTGCTGGATGAAGGAAAGGCTGTGGATGTTGTTTACCTGGACTTTAGCAAGGCCTTTGATACAGTCTCCCACAGGATCCTCCTGGAGAAACTGGCTGCCCGTGGCTTGGATGGGAATACTCTGCACTGGGTTAAAAACTGGCTGGAGGCCCGGCCCAGAGAGTGGTGGGGAATGGAGTCAAATCCAGTTGGTGGCCGGTCACGAGTGGTGTCCCACAGGGCTCAGTACTGGGACCCGTTCTCTTTAACATCTTTATCAATGATCTGGACGAGGGGATCGAGTGCACCCTCAGTCAGTTCACAGACGACACCAAGCTGGGTGGCAGTTTCGACCTGCTGGAGGGTAGAGAGGCTCTGCAGAGAGATCTGGACAGGCTGGATGGATGGGCTGAGGCCAATGGGATGAGGTTCAACAAGGCCAAGTGCCAGGTCCTGCATTTTGGTCACACCAACCCCAGGCAGCGCTACAGGCTGGGGGCAGAGTGGCTGGAGCTGCCCGGCAGAAAAGGCCCTGGGGGTGTTGGTGGACAGCCGGCTGAACAGGAGCCAGCAGTGTGCCCAGGTGGCCAAGGAGGCCACCAGCATCCTGGCCTGCATCAGGACCAGCGTGGTGAGTAGGGCCCAAGAGGTGATCGCCCCCCTGTACTGGGCACTGGTGAGGCCTCACCTCGAGTACTGTGTCCAGTTTTGGGCCCCTCACCACAAAAAAGACATTGAGGTGCTGGAGTGGGTCCAGAGAAGGGCAACAAAGATGGTGAGGGGTCTGGAGCACAAGTCTTGTGAGGAGAGGCTGAGGGAGCTGGGGGTGTTCAGCCTGGAGAAGAGGAGGCTGAGGGGAGACCTTGTCACGCTCTATAACTACCTGAAAGGGGGAGTGTAGAGAGGTGAGGGTCGGTCTCATCTCCCAAGTCACAGGAGATAGGACAAGGGGAAATGGTCTCACGTTGCACCAGGGGAGGTTTAGATTGGATATTAGGAAACATTTCTTCACCGAAAGGGTTATCCAGCATTGGAATAGGCTGCCCAGGGAAGTGGTTGAGGAGGTGTTCAAAACACGGGTAGACATGGTCCTCAGAAATGTGGTTTAGTAATTTTTATTTCCTATTTCTTATTTATTTTTTTGTCAGGTTGATGGTTGGACTAGATGATCTTCAAGGTCCCTTCCAACCTAGACAATTCTATCAGTCTGTTTACTGTGGGGATATATTTGTGGTTACTGTCAAGTAAAATCTGACCATTTTCAGATTGCCTTTCTGAGTTTGGCCTGATAATGGTGTTGATCTACACACCAAATCTTTGTACAGTGGGCATTCATGTCAAAATTTGCAGTCCTGCTCAGTTGCATACAGGGACAGCTATTTGGATACATCAATAACTAAGCTGATTCATTTGTGTGGCTAAAAATATGTAGGAGCTCTTTAGAGAACGTGCCTTGATAAACATTCCCATCTGATAGATTTTTGACTGTCATGCCGTTGGGAAGAGAAGACGGATTTGGATTCTGAGGGATTGGGTCCCACTGATTTCACAGGGTACCGTACAAGGTGATTTTCACTTGCCCGTGGATTTATCCTAGCTCTGTCGTTGGGATTATTGCAAGAGTATTTTCACCAGGAGTTTCTTCATTGTTCTTAAAGCGTCTCATAAGAATCTGATACCCTAGTTAATGTTTCATTTTTCTTCATTAGTTAAATTTGCACACTGAAATTAAAAAGAATGTACCTGGAGTACAAAACCTCAAGCATCCTTGACTGTTCTGGCCTGTGTAGAAAGAACCTTTAGACTATAAACATCATTTATATAATTTAAACATCATTTATCATTTACAAACATCATTTAACCCAACATTTGGTTCTGCTGCTGGGAGAATGGTTCCATTCTTGTAAATATGGGAAACAGGATTAATGAATTTTTGCATTCCTGACTTCCATTGGCTTTTTAAGATCTCAAATAATCTAATCAAGACAACTGCATTTTTAGAATGTTGCGTTTTTACATCTAAATGTGTGATATTACCTGTGGCTGCTCTATAGAGTAAGAATAGAGATCCTATTCTTCCATGTGTTGTTTGAAAAGATACTCCCTTAGCTCAAGTAGAACAAGTTGTAAAGCTTTGTCAAAGTTTTCATTATCTATCAAAAAAAAAGACCATCTCTTGCGCAAATCCAAAGCAAAGATATTAGTAAAAGAATCATTTTATTAGTCATTTATTTTAATACGTTCATTTGTGCTGCTCTTAGCATCACTGAACCCCCTTATGCTTATGCCAAGTTATCCGTTTAGTTTTGTTACTTTGTTCTTTTAGCTTTGAGTATGAAATCAGTCTGATAATAAACCAGCTGACGGGTGTTTGCTTTGAGGTTGTACCACCCCACTGTGATTGTTAAGTCCAAAGAAAAATCTTAACAGTGATTTCTTGACCGTGGAGTTGAAGAAACCTCGGAAGAGTTGGATTTACAAAGGAATCAATGACACAGATTTCTGTAGCTGTGGTCAATGAGTGGTCTCTTCAGAACTAAACACTTCCTGGAAAAGCTTTGGACAAAATCTCATGGAAATAGACCCAATCCCTGCTTTAAAAAAAAAAAAAAAAAAAAA